CACTTCAGAAAGAACTTCTGTAGCTAGCAAAAATCTGTTGCTCCTTCTCTATCAGCATCCGCTACAAGACTACCTTTCTCATAAAGCCATTGCTTTTCATTTACAAGCATAGTCCACTAATTTCTGGCTTGGAAGGATTGGTCTAATTTCCTATGAGCCTCTGAGAAAACCTCAGAAAGATTTGTCTCAAAAGACTTCTGGTCACATCTAATGTGTGGTACTCATAGTGCTCAGACCCTCACCTTGTGTGAGGTTAGAGTTCTTACAAAATGTTGGTAGACACAGGGAAATACAAACTCTGGTAGCTAGGGTTGGTATTAAAATCTGTATGTTCACTCCCTCCAGTCTGCAGGAAGCTAAATATTTGTGTTGTTATAATCTGCCCAGAAAATAAGCTTTAGCTCTCTAGGCTGGCATGTGAAAAATCATGTTTGAGAACAAACCTACATGCAGATGATGTACACTGAGAATACACAGATAAACAGTACAACTGTATTCTCCTGTTATTTCACTTGACCTTCAGACAACTGACATCCTTTTAAAAGTACTTATACTTGAAATACTCAGCTATTCTGCAGCCTTAAGTAAACTCCACAAAACCAAGGACTGAAATGGGGGAAACATCACCAATGGTATGACAGATTGGAAAGGGACATGGGAAATCAGGTGCAGGAAAGGTATAAGGGAAAATGAACAGGGTTAAAGGACATCGAAAGTTGATTAATTCCTAAAGAAGATAAGGTTTTGAAGAAAACTTCCCCTCCTATTACCTGCACACCTAACCAATAGCTAAGTCACAGTAGCTTTTCTATGGATAACACAAATACACATATTGAAAATATGGGAAATACTGATTTACAGAGACCATTTTTTTCCTTCTTACTACTTCTTTAATTTTATATAATAAGCACTATCTTAGAGAGAACTAAAACACTTGATCTATTTATATGTTTCATACATATGACCTCAAAAGGATTCTCATTCTCTAGTCAAGCCACATAGCAAGCCTTACAAATCTTCAGACCTTAAGGATTTGAACTATGTGTTTCCATTTCACATTAGCTCTGTACGACACAATTAAGCTGGTGGATTTACTAACATGAACATTAGAAGCATACAGGCATATACAGTGAGTCAACTTGTCTGTGATCAAAGTCTTCAACCAACATTTAGGTCCTTTGCTTGAACTTTATATTTTGGAAAGGTTTATTATGCCTCAGGAATTCTCTGTCAGAAAGTAAGATCTAGAGCAGTAGTAATCACCTTGAGAATATTGCTCTATAAACAATCCACTTTCTAATTTTACTCTTTTTTTTACTTCTACCATGGACATCATCTATTCCAGAAAAACAAATCAAACAAACCACTGTGACAAATATTTGGGAGCAGTCTGAGTCTGATTTTTTTAACAAGTTATTTATTAATGATCCTATCTTCTAATAAAACCTTCACCTGATTTATGCAGCTGTGAAATAAGAAGAAGGTCCTGAAAGGTCTTTTTATTTCTTCCAGAGTACTGAGTAGCTCCTTATAGCAACAATTGATATAAAGGTCATAATCACTATCAGACAGACTACAGGAATATTCTCACATCTCAAAAGTCTCCTTTCAGTACTTTTGTGCGTTATTTTTGTGATGTGAACTAGATAATCTAGAGAGAGTTGTTTATTTGGTTGTTTCAGGGGCTGTAAAAGTATATTGTAATGAACATTTCTGTTGGGGACACTTGGATGCAACCTTTTCCATGGCCTTCCCTTTGGTGATTTGTTATGTTCTTTTTTACCTATATTCACAAGCAGTTTTCAGATGCAAGGTCCTATAATGTTTTTTATAACAAAAGATGACAAAGAGGAGGAAATTTCTAAAATACAACTAAATCACAAATTGAATTTGTTTAGGAAGTTGCTGCTCATTTTCCATTTGATTTTTTTTTCTTGTAACAGCTATTCAGCTGTGGGTTTAATTTTATTTTTGGTCTTTTGCCTGTACATTGAAATGGAAGTGGCATTTATAGCTGATGCCTTCACAACAAATTTGTCTAGATTTCATATGCTACCCACAGCTTGGCATGTTTTCTTCAAGCAGATGTTTTTTGAACAGTGCAATTCTGAGCAGACTCAACCACAGTCCTTGCAGCTCTCAGTTTCTCTCCCCTTCACCTTTCTTAAAAGTTGAGGAGTAGTCAGATATTAAATTAGTCCCACCATTTATAAAGGAGTTTGCTTGTATTACTGAAGATCTAGTCAGGGTGGCATAGGCTTTTTTATTAAATACAGTTTTACGTTTCCTTGGTCTAATGTCTAGATTCCACTTTGTGTTAGCAGCCAGTATTAGAACAAGAAGTCACAGAAAAGGTATATTTTTCTTTATCATTTATTATAATACAAGAAAAACAAATCTAGAAAGCATATTTCACAGAGCACCATATTGTAACAAAATTCTGCTGGCTCTCCTGCAAAGTGTATTTTTGACATTTAAGCAATGACACACACATAGTACACACAGGACCTACAACATGGTGATCTTATTAACAGACCCAAAGAGACCCCTCTTTCAAATACAGAAACATCAAGGTGCACAGAGGAATGCCAGTGTGAGGGCATCTGAACGCTAACTGAGTTAATCACTCTTTTATTAGCGATCTTCATAAGCACACAAGCCTCCATTGTCTCACCCCAATTTCTCTTCGCTGAAGACTCCGAATGGGGCCCAAAGGTCACTGAATACGGTTTTGTCACAGACATGGTGTCAAGTTGAACAAAACTGGCCAATATTCCCTACCTGATACCTCTTATTGCTTTGGTAATAGTACTGAATGAAAGTCTTAAAAACTCTTAACCCCATACTCCACATCACAGAAAAGCCACTTTCACACACGCAGAAACATAGCTTCCCACACATGCATGAACACATAGCACTGATACTTTGTGGGTTTCACCACCAAGATCACCTTCCTAAAAATCACTGCATTTTGTTTTTCGAAGTGTTCAGATAGTTGTTCAGCAATATATTTCACAATATATTTTCTTTTTTTTAATAGACAGGGCATGTTTTCCTGCTGCCTTAAAATTATATCGTTGTCTACACAAGGAAAAGCAAAATGCTATCATTGTCATCTGTACAAAATGTTTTACATTCCTTTTATACAATGCTAAATACAGATGCTAAGCACAGAAAGCAATGTAAAATGATAACCCAGAATAGCTTTTTACCTTGCTCAAAATGAAAAAGTACTGGAAGTTTCCCATACTAATGTTGAGACACAGTATTGGGGTCTCTATTATATACAGTAGCCTTCCAGAATACTTTCAGGCACCTATTTTGTGAGCTTTTGCTCAATATGCATGTCACGCTGAAGCACCTCAAGTAATATGGTATAGTGCCCTGAAATACTGAGAATAAGAGACAGAAGTAAATTCACTCTCACAGCAGACTAGACCAGCTGTGACGAACAAGGCTAGCAAAGCAGTAAAATTTCTGCCTGGACTCAAAACAACCCACTGTTACAAAAATTTGGGGTATCTGATATATGGTCACTTATATCATCAACTGAGGACAATGCATAAAGTTTAATCTAAAACCTTTTCTATAAAATGCTTTAATTTTGTCAAAAAAAAAAAGAGGCTATATTTCTATCAGCTATTTAGAAAATACTTTTTTCTTTCCTCTGAGCCTGTTTCTTTTTGAAGAAAGCCCTGCTTTCTGACTAGAAATTTTCTGGGGAAATTCAAGGATTTGCAAAATCTGTCTTGATAATCATTGAGGTTGGATTATCTTTAAGTTTTAGACAGGACAGTCATGCATATTGCTAAGAAAAAAATGAAGTTATTGTGCATTTTTTCTTGTGAAAAATCAATGTGGATTTCTCATGTATGGGAGCCACTTTATACTGTGATGAACAGGCATCTATGAATTACAAGATACAATAATGGAAATTCAAAAGGAGGGAATGGACTTGACAAATAATTGTAACTTTAGCTGTGCAAATGAATATTAACAAACTGAATTACTAACTCAGGCTTTTTCCTCTGAACTAAAGGCATGTTTCAACACTTGTGCTAAACTATTGTCCAGCATTTCCCAGATAAACAGTTCAGACTTAAACTGTATAATGAGGAAAAGAAGAGAAAAAGACTAGTTTAAGTTTTACAAAGGTTATGGAGTTGCTATGGATTAAAAAAGTTTCAGATGACTGAAGAATAGGATATAAGGAAAAGATATGCTGGGTATATCAATACATATTTTCACTAGGATTAGTGTCTACATGTTTACTCACTTGAGTAAAAGGACAGTGTAGTAAAAATAGAAGAGATTCAGAGACAAGCAAAGAATACGGACCTGAATAAGAATATGAGTTATTGCTTGTCTTAAGGAACAAAGGAAAGGTACATAAATTTCTATATATATTTTACAATGACTGACATACAGAAGAAAAATTGGGATCACTTCTGTTTATAGTGGTTTAGCATATAATAGCAAAAGATGAGAATGACATGAAAAGCAGCCAATTTAAATCTGAAAAAAATCTGTTTTCGTTTGGTTTTCTTTGTTCTTAAGTGTGATTTTTTTGACTGTAGTAACCCCACCTCACAAAATATTTAGACCTCAAAACTCAGGATCAGTTGCTCATAGGGATGATGAGACATCAACAATCCCTTTAGATGAGGCAAAGATAATAAGGGTTGAAGTTAATGAAAATTCTGTAAGAAACTATTGCACCTTCCCCTGAAGCATCTGATACAGTCAGAGGTAGGATGCTGGATTAAATAAACCATGAAGTTTGGCTATGTTACTGTTTCTATGATATTAGGTTTAAAAATTTCAGTTATATATCCCAGTTAGTCATGAAGATCTATAACAATCTTCCACACTGAGCAATGAGTTACAGTAATAATAATGAAGGGAGAACAGAATAATTATTATTAGGGGTTTTAGACACCACTTATATGTGCATGCATGTATATATACTTACATAAAAATGTATTATATACATACAGATGCATACACATGTATACACACACACAGAGACGCATGCCTTCTAAGAAGTGGAGCTCACCAGGAGATCTGAAGACCATTCTTTACACCCTTCTCTGACGCACATTACCAAACTGTGTAAGTGTGTGTGTGTATATGTTTAACAGTGTGTTGAGGAAAATGTGAGAATGGGAAGCATGAATCTGAGTATGGGAGAAATCATCCATGTTACTGTCATTATTTCAGATCTGTACTTGAAAACACATTTCCAAATTCCTTGTACATTGGCTAAGTTGACCAACAACCTAGCAAGAAGAAATACACAATATTAATGGGCATTGTGAAAATGGAAATAATTATGTATGCATTTTCTGTTCTTTCCTGTGTTAATATCAACACATCATATTCCTGACAATGGGCAGAACAAGAAATTGAAAGAACTAACTTGATATTTGCCACTTACTCTGCTTATCTGTTTCATGTTTCTGCCAAAGTTGAGAGAAAAATTGGATAGTCTATCTCCGTATGGGTTTTCATTTTTCAGATCTAGTGGGTTAGTTCATTGCAAATCTACCTTTTCCTTAGGCTTGATCAAATAATTTTAGTTTTAGAAATACTTAATGTATACTCTAAGCTCACAGTATCTCTTTAAACATAAGATTAATTCCTCAGACCCATTTGTATGAAAATTCTACCACCTTTTACACCCATTCACATTAATTCACACTATTTGTCCTCCCTGTTTCTCTTCTGGGAAGGTTTTTGAGAACAGGAGTGAAACCGACCATCAGCTTATCTGGTAGCAAAACGGCAGCTAATCAATTCTAAAGCTACAAACGACTTAACCTGCAGATAAACTAAAATATAAACATATTCAGATAAACTAGCTATAAACTAGTTTCATGTATCTAAGATAGCAAAAGTCAGCATGACTACATTTAACAGGGTAAATGACAGGATAGGTTTCCATTTCAATGAGGTAAAGTTGTGCATAAATTCCCCCATCCCCAAAATACACCTGCAAGGTCATTATCTCAAATAAAAATAAAGGAGAGAAATAAGTTACTTTTTTAAAAGCTAAAAATGAAATTACCTTTAAGCCTATTGCTAGACAGAAAGAGATGGAGATGGGGTAAAAAACAGAGATGAGAACCAGAGAATATTGATAAATGTGTGTTGTCAGCTCTGAGAACCACAGGTTTGGTTGGCAGCAGCTGAGTTTTGTCTCCTGATGCATGTTCTAGATGGTTCTCAATGTTTTGTTATAAATAGTCCAAGTATTTTAGTTTTTAGTTTTCAAATGGTAATGGGCTTATTTGATCACTTTTGTCTTTTTGGTCCAACTACACAGATTTTAACATATTTCTCAGCAGGCACAGGCCTGCCTACTGGATACAAACATATAGGTAGCATTACATAGTTAATATGCTGTGCAGAGATGTGCACAGAGAGTACAAATACCAGCAGACCATGGTTCATCTTGATCTGAGCAGCCAGTCTGCCTGAGCGACGCATTGCATGGTGGTTCCTGTAGTCCCTAAACAATAACTTCTCTACCAAGAAAAGACAATCGCTACACTCCATTCCTATGCAAGTAATTGCAAACTTCCTGCTCCTCCCAGGTTCTTTGCATTGGCCACAGGGGACTAAAGAAGCATTTCTGAAGAAATTCACAGCACTGCCTTTCCATGGAATGCCTTCCAAGCAGAAATGCTTCCTCTGGCGCACCCCAGAGCTGACACTTCGTGAGAGGGGTTCCTAGGAGACAGGTCTTATTACTCTTCCTGCTTGCCAGTAGCACCTTTTCACAGAAGCCTGTTCACCCCTTCTGTCCCACAGCAAGCGCAGGAGTGGGATTTTTTTTCAGATAATGTATCTGTGGAGCTAGATTTTTTTTAACTTTCATTTCCTCGTTAACATTCACTTGAAATTGTTATCAAATGTGTTCTCCTGCAATCGTCTGAAAGGTTTTATTCAAACCAGTATGTTCTCTTTTTTTTCCCTTTTGCATCTCCTTAAAGGGACATCTGTTAACACAGCTTCTGTAGAGAATGGATTTCATCTTTTACTGAAGTTTTGTTCCAGCCAAAGCCGAACTTCCTGCAGGTTGTAGAAAAAGGGGCCTTTGCCTCCCAGGTAGGCGATTTTTTGTCTCTGCACAATGCATACTCGCTCAAATGAAACTCCATAGGCCACATTGGCATTGTTGTCCATACAGTCAGCCACCACTTGGCACTGAGGTGGCAAGGAAAAGTGTTCTAGGAGCTGATGAGCAGCTGCACATCTCTCTTCCTGGTTCCTGTGTTTCTTAACTTCGAATGAAGAGGGAGAGATTCCAGGAGCAGCCCAGCCATCTGATGGGTGAGCTTCATCGATGTAGACCAACAGAAAGTCAGCCACACCAGAGAACTCCTCCACCAGCTTGCTGAAGGCCGACAGCTGGCTTGTGAACGGTGGTCAGGTAGCTGAGCCAAAGTTGACCACCAGTGGCCGCTCGGAATTGGCAAAGTCCAGAAGGTGGCATTTCGTTCCACACTTGCTACCAACATTCTTCCAGCTGCTACTGCTACCATCACTGCCCTTGGATATGTGGATTACACTGGAGTTAGGAGCTTCTCCTCCCAGTTTGACCTGATGGCAAAACAAATTAAAACATAGCAAGTTAGTGTGACTTGCCTGTGCAGTATCCTCATGACTACTGTCTTCAAAAAGCACACCTAACTAGCTCCATGGACAGTAGCATGGGGATATAGCAAATCATCAAAGGCAGCAGTTTAAAAAAGTTCATCTAGCCCACCTTCACTCATAATTTAGGGAAATGTAGCATTCCTGACAGGTATACTACTTCATTAATGTTAGAAAATTTGATCAGAGAAATGTTAAAAATGTTAGAAAATTGAATCAAATTGTCTTGTCCTGTCCACTACACACATAGCCCAGTCCACCCTTATGTATTTGGAGACTCGCATTTGCTTTCAGACAGACTACCTCAAATTTCTTCTAACTTTCCTCTGTGAGACAAATTTTCTAGATAGGATTTTTTTTCAATGAGTCATTTTTTTTCAATGAGACATTTTCAATGAGTCGTCTCCACTTGGTTCACATCTTCCTTGAAATGTAGTGTTCAAAACTTCAACAGTGTATTTACCAATTCTCAGAATAATCAGGCAATTGCTTAATGTAATGAAGTAGCTCACAGACTACACCTGTTTATACATTCTAGATGTTTGCTTTTTATGAGACATCACGGTTGTTTTGCAAAAAGAGTAGACTGTCTATTGGGGATTAACTAGTGAAATGCCTAGCTAAAAGCTAGTGAAATGCCAAGGTCCCTTTTCTGCCTTTCTAGTTGTTCCCCATCATGGATTTGAGTACTTCATTAGTCTGAATTTTATCCTTTGCACTCAGCCCCACTGAACTGCATTCTACATTTTAAGCCATTTTTCCAATTCTCAATCATTCTGCGTTATATTCCTGATCTTCACAACACATGCAGTACCTCTCAATTTTCAGAGGTTTGAAGATTTCATACTTATATATTCTCTTCCATCCTGCAGTCCAAGAATGAAAATACTCAGAGTACTAAATAAGAGATCTCTGGGATCTCTGCAGATGCTCATTCATTGTACATTCTGTCTTGACAGTGGACCATCCAAGACTGCACTGTCTAAAGTTTCTTCTAATCAATTTGTAGTAATTTCATCAGTGACTGAGTGACATATTTCCTTCTACTGCAACGATTCTTTACAAAATGATTGGGGAAAAAAATCCAGCACAAAAAGGGGAAAGTTTATATGATGGTTGAAGTAGGATGAGGGGAAAATAAACCGTTTTATTAGCTCCAGCTCCAGATGTAACTCGGACACAACAGGCAATTGTGGAAAAATTTTACCTGACCATTTCTACTTGCATATCTATAGAAAAAAACCCCAGAATATAAGCATCTCACAGAAGGGAGTGGTAGAATAAGGTGGAGCCTGCAGAGGGCTCCAAGATCCTTAGCTGATTACTGTAGAACCACAACATATTATTACATAATACGATTAGTTTTTAATGAGCTCTGCCACAGCAATTCCTATGTATCTGCCTTTAACATCAAGCTCTAGTACAACAATGCAATTATCCTTTGTATTTCCCTGACTCTTTCTCTCTATATACACTATTTGATTGCATTCAGAAATCTTGCTTTGAAGGAAACATACAGGGTCAAATTCAGAAGTCTTTTACATTTTATGTATTTCTTTCTGAAACTACAACAATTAAAGTCTGTAGAAGTTAGTGCTAAATGAGAACTGTGTAAAAACTGAATAAATAACTGATTTCTGGTGCACTTCTATTTTACATTACATTATAGGATATTCTAGTGAGTCAGATACAGTAAGAAACTGAGATAGCTGAATACTGAACTTACGCAGTTGCTGCTGCACAGATCCAAAGGCAAGTACATTGTTAATACTGGATCCTCCATTTCTCCCTGAGAAACCTGACTACCTTGAACAAATCTACAGTTATTCATGACTCTCAACTATTTCATCAGAAGAGCACCAGAAGCAAGAGTGTAATCAAAGCAAAGTTTGTAAGACACAACCCTTAAAGCTGCCAGACTTCACAGCTATATGAGAAGGTCTCAGGGCATGTTGTCACATGATATAAGCTTTATTTTGACTATTTTCCATAGGGTAAATCGAAACACAACCATGCTGACATTCTCACTCGGAGATCAGCAAGAAAGAGAGTCACAGAAAAAAGACTGCCTGAGACCCACAGATCTCACCAGGTCAACAATGTGGTGATCTTGCCACTGGAAGTAGAGGATGTGCAGCTGCACCACAGGCAAGAGAAGTAAGTGATGGCCCAGGAAAGCACAGCCAGTTGTGCCCCTGTCTCTGAAAACCTGCATCTGCAGCATTGCTATCTGCTAGAGCCTGGCAACAGTTTAGAAAAAGCCTTGTGCTTCTCTGCCTTTGAAAGCAAGAGGCCTCAAACAGCTGACTTTAGGACCTGCTGTGTGAACATTGAACTCAGTTGCCCGTTGAACTCAAAGAAGGAAAATATCTATATCCCAGTTTTTGAGAAGAAATGACCTGCCTGAGAAGAGGCAGGCTCAGCGACTCAGGCTCTTGCGTTTAAGAAGTAGCATTAAGCATCTTACAGTGTTTAAGGCCACCTACACCTTAGCAGGTAGCAGGTACTCTTCTGTTCAGCTGTTGATCACTTCATTTCTCTCTGCCATTCTGTGAAGTAAGATAGGCAAATCAGGAGTGAGTAAGGTATAGGGCCACACTTGAAGAAAGAAATACACAGGTAAAGATCACATGGCATCCACATAACCATCCTGAGGAATGCATTCAATTAAGAAGCCATCTAAACAACTCAGACATTTTGTGATAAGTTGGTGACTGTAAAAAAAAGGCACATACCAAGAAACAGCATATGCATATCTGCACAAACATTAGATCCCTCTTTACCTAGAAAACTTCACTGTTCCTGCACTACCATGTAAATGCTTCTTCCGAGCTAGCTTGCCTAAAATGTGTCTTTTGGGCAAAGCCTGACATGTAAGTATTTGTGGTGCACCCATTCCCTGGATGAATAATGGGCCTCAGTATTTAGGACTATATGCTCATCCAGTCAAAGAAAAAAAGTAATGACATGTAATTTATCTCACAAATCACAATTAAGGAGCACACTTTGAATTTCTGATATTTGCTGCCACTCTTCAGAGGATAAGAAAAATAAAGGTAAAAAGAAGCACATAAAACTCAGCAATGAACAGAGCTGCTCAGGACAAAGAAACATCTGAGCAGCTATTTTCACTTATTCTTCTGGTTTTATTTTAACAAAACCATTGTGACTGAAAATATCTAGCCAACACTCTTGAACTGGGAAACCACAGTTTACTTCTTGGTCATCTTTAAGCAGAAAGAGAAGCTATATATTTTAAGTTCCTCATTATCAGCTCCTCACTCAGGTCTACCAAACGCTTGATTTCCTAGGCAAGTTTGCAAACCCTGAAGGAACAGACCAATAAAACAACTTCCATCAGATATCAACATGGGAATGCCCTTCAAGTCCTATTTAACATTGATACCAAAGGTGGCAACAAACCTCACAGTTCTTCAACAATGCAAGTTTGCATTCTGTTTCTCATACTCCTTATTGACTAAAAAAATAGAGATTGAGGAAACAAAGTAAAAAGAAGCCCTTATATATCTATACAACTATACATCACCTTATATCAGTTTCTCTTCATTTCCCACAGTCATGAAGTAAGTCTCATGGCCGCAGGTTACCTATCATTTTAATTTTTGTTTCTAGGAGTGCTTGTGATGGGTTTTTTCCTCTTAATGAGACATCCTTGCCAAGCAGGCATTCACGAGGCATTTTCTGCTCTTGTAGAGAAGTAATTAGGTCGGTGCCTTGTTCCATGCCAGTGTCAGGCACTCCAAAAAGCAGCCCTGCCCAGTCGTTAATGCTTAAACATAAGCAGCAGCGGCAACTCCACTAATTGGTCTTGATGAAGCACTGACGTTCCCAAGAGACTGTTTATTTCACCAGGCTCTGAACAGATTGACACAGGATGACAATATCGTCCTTGCTGATCATCTGCATTGTAAGCCTTGGCCATCTTCTTTGTTGTTATTTATTGAAAGAAAAAATAGCTCTTGGAAAAGAAAATCAATGCAATGAGAAAACAAACAAAAACCCCCATGTATTCAGCCAAACCGCTTTTGAAATCTTACACAAAAGCAGGCAAAATATAAATTCTGAGAAACAAACTAGCAGAATTCCCCTCACACGCAATCCATAATCACGTACTTTTGTGCATGAACATTTGGCCATTCGATGCCAGCCTTCTGAATGAAGTAGAAACCAGGCAGCACGCAGGCATCCCCTCCCACACAGCCTGCATGGGACACGCAACGTAGGCCAACCAAATCTGAGAGCCAGCCCAGCCATCAGCAAGAGCAATCACCAACACCAAAGCAGTGATTCACATCATTTGTGAGAACTTTGTGTTTGCTGGACAGCTTGTTCTGAGTCTGCATTCAGAATGAAAAGGGAACAAGCTTGCTGATGCTTTAGCACGCAGTCTGCAAAATGAAGGAGATGTAGGAGCAGGAAAGAAAGCCCTATTCATAAACTACAGGCTAGAAATAGCACATACCGCTAACTTTGTGGTACATTCTCCATAAGGACTGGGTAAAGCCCCATGGACAAAACATCATCTCCTCATATACCTTTTCTTTTTTCTTATTTTACTTTTATCAGCTTCAGCATAACCTTCCTTGGATCCTGTGCACTGGAATACAGCTTTCATTCCCTGCATTAGGGATTTTCAAACAATTTGGCAGACTCATCAGGCTGTGTCAATTTGCCCCTAAAGAAAATAGGTGCTGCCAGACAATTACCAGTTTGTGATATTAGTCATTTAAGTATGGACATGCCATGTTTGCGACTAGAGTGCAGCTATTGGTAATGACCTAAATCCCTGGAGCCTTTTACACTTTTTCATATTCTCTCCTTTGATTTAAACTCATTTAGCTAGATATATTTTCATCCAAATCAAAATCAGACTCTGGCTGGAGAATTTATACAATTTAGTCTTTATTTACACGACCCAGAGTTGT